TTGTTGGATGAGACGAGGCGGGACTCTGCGGTACCGTCCAGCAGCGATGGACGCACCTTCTCTGGGTAAAGGGGCGGGGCGCCACTGTTCGGGGTATAAAAATGCATTTATAATGGATTTCAATATGGTCGTTATTCCCCAAATGAACACCGGAGGAGATCAACGTTACTGTGAGGTTATGAAACTCTTCTGACTAAATTAAAGAAATTCAAAGGACTTCTAGACTCTTTCAGGCACGGCTGCGTTGAATGACAAAACCAAAAATAACGAGTAAAAAAAAAAAAAGATCCGAACAAAAACAAACGCGTGTCTGATTTTCCTCCACGACCGATAAAACATTTCAATAGCGATGCAGGTTTCACCTCTGGTGGCGGAGCGAAGGACGTCCAAGTCTCGTCTCACGGCCTCGCAGGAACCTGGAAACTCCTCCTTCAACAGCATGGACTCGATCAGAACCGAGTAACTGCAGAGGAGCGACAGCTTCAGGTCAGGAGCCGAAGCCTTGTCCAAACCTCCAGTTACAGCTGAAGCTGGAAACTGGAGCCTGGTTTTACTTTGTGACGGCTCACCTGGGCACCTGGATCAGCAGGTGCACGAAGGAATCGGCCAACGGCAGCTTAGCGGCGTCGCCTCGGTACGCCTTCAGCTTCTTCGCCTGCAGGAGACAACCAGGGTTAGAAAGACTCGCCTGCGTGTGGGAGCAGGACGTTTGGGTTTTAGTGTTTTTACTCAAAGTTTCACCTCGTCTTTCTCTGGAAGCAGCTTCAGCAGCTCTCTCAAAGGCCCCGCCCCCAACGACTCACTGTTGCCATGGCGAACATCATCCACTATCGCCTGATTGGACCTGCAGGGGGAAGTTTCACGTTTAATTAACGGCGTGAAATCACTCCCCGAACGTGCAGAAAGTGTCAGCTGAGTCCGTCTGAATCTGAAGTTTCAACAAATTTAAACCAGTTTAAAATATAATCTGGATTATTTCTGTCTCGTTCTGAGCGTCAGCGGTTGTTGACGTTCATCCTGTCTGACACGCTGCATGACGCCTGGCTTTACCCACAACACCCCTGGATGAGGGCGAGGAGACGCGTGAGGAGTCCGGCGCGTCGGCAGGTAAACAGAGCGGTTCAGATGAGCAGCAGAAAGGTCACGACCTCCCAGAAACAGACGTTCAGACAGCGATGCCAATCTCAAACTAGAGGAACTGCATGTCCTGTGAAAACGCATGCCAACGCTTATTGCAGAAGAACTTGCTGAAAAACAGCTGAAGTTAGCTTAAAAACACATGCTGAAATGGAAGAACAAGCCCAAATCAGCAGAAGAAAGCAGAAAGAACACACATTTGCTGAATTAGGCTTAAATAATCAGAAATGAGCACAAAAATGAGGAAATTAGCTAAAAAAAGCTGAAATTTGTTCAAGAAAAATTCTGAATAGTAGCTGAAAAAGCAGAAAGAAACTTGAGCTACCAAAAGAAAGTAGGATGAGCTTAAATGAGCTCAGAAAATGTGGAATTAGCTGAAAAAAAGAACGTTAGCATAAAACAGCTAAATAGTAGCTGAAAAGGCAGAAAAAGCTGAAAGGAGCATAACAAGCTGACATTAGCATAAAGAAGTTAATTAGGCTGAAAGGCGCAGAAATTACTACGAAACTTTAATTTACCTGAAAACAGCTGAAATTTGCTGCAAAAATGCTAAAAAAAAAAAAACTAGCTGAAAATGTACAACAAGCTCAAATTAGCAGAAGAAAGCAGAAGGAACAAATTTGCCCAATTAGTCTCAGAAACGAGCACAAAAAAGTGGAAATTATCTGAAAACAGCTGAAATCAGCCCAAAAAAACAGATGAAAAGTAGCTAAAAAAGCAAAGAAGCTTAAATTAACAGAAGGAAATGGAAAGAGCACATTTTGCTGAATTACGCTGAAAAAAGTTGAAATCAGTGCAAAAATTGTGAAATTAGCTGTAAAACCTAAAATTACCATAAACAGCTAAACAGTAGCTGAAATTACTGAAACTGGCAGAAATAAGCTGAAAGGAGCATAAAAATAAACAATTAGCATAAAGAGGTTAATTAGGCTGAAAGTTGTAGAATTTACCACAAAATTTAGAATTTATCTGAAAACAGCTGAAATTAGCACAAAACAGCTAAATAGTAGCTGAAATAGCAGAAAAAGCTGAAACGTGTGGAAATGAGCTGAAAGGAGCAGAACAAGCTGAAATTAGCAGAAAGAAGCTGAAAGGAGCACAAAACTGAAAGAACAGCTGAAAGTAGCTGAAACAAGTTTACATTTGCAGAAGAAGCTGAAAGAAGCTGAAGCAGAACAAAATGTGAAAGGAGCAGCAAAAGGTTGTAAACACAGCTAAAGATCTGAAGGAGGTAAAATGAGCTCAATTCATTTTCCATGAGGAAAAAAGTGGCAGAAAAGGCTAAACATTTCAAAAAGCTAAAGTTGCATCAATACAGGGTTGTCCTGAAAGAGCCGAACGTTTTGATTATGATTTGTTGAAACAGCTTGAGTAATGTGGAACGAGAAAGGAGCTGAGGAACCTACAGAAGACAAACGGATCACAGTAGACCGAAAGCTTCATGAACGTTCAGACAATAAAACATCTAAAGAGTTTCTGTTCCACAGACAGACTCAGAAAACTGCGAGTCTGACCCGTTTGGGTCCGCTCTCATCACAGGTGGACAACAGGAAGTCATGATCCGGGTCTCGGCTCACCTCCTGAACTGTTTGAGGAAGATCCCAACGGTCAGCCCTCGCTTCGGGTCCAGAATGAAGACCTGGTCCAGAGACAGAGACAGAGACGGTGAGCGGGCGCAGACTGTCCACAGACGCACCGTCATGGGATCAGAACCAGAACCGAACCTCCTCTTTGGTCGCTCTAAACGGGGCTCGAGTTGTCACTCCTCTGGTGGGCGGGGCCGTGGCGTTTGATTGACGTTCCTTCTGACCGAAGAGCTCCTCGATCTCCTGGACGTCAATGTCAAAGTTCTGCTGGACCGGACCCTGGGTCCAAACGTTCGCACGACCTTTCACCTGGAACATAAACATCACACGAATATTTTCCTGTTTTCATTTTACTTTGGATACTTTACTCTTTGATACTTTTAGCTACTGTTAACTTTAGCTTAATTTTTCATACTTAAGGCTTTTAGCTAGCCTTTTGCTAGTTGTAGCTAACTGTTACAATTATGCTACTCTACTTTTAGCATTACTTTTGCTACTTTTAGCTACTATTATGTTATTTTTAGCTAAATTTTGATTCTTTAGGCTTTGGCTAACCTTTTGCCAGTTTTAGCGTATAGCTGCTTCAAGCTAATCATTACTTTTAGCTACTGTTCTACTACTTTTAGCTAGCATTTGAATATGTTTACCTACTCTTTTGCTACTTTTAGCTACTGTTGTGTTCCTTTTAGCTAGATTTTGATTCTTTAGGCTTTTGGATAGCCTTTTGCCAGTTTTAGCTTATTCATTCATTCTTATAGTTACTTATAGCTACTTAAAGCTAATCATTACTTTTAGCTAGTGTTCTACTACTTTTAGCTAGCCTTTAAATATGTTTACCTACTTTTTTGCTACCTTTAGTTACTGTTGTGTTAATGTTAGCTTAATGTTTCGTACTTAAGCCTTTTAGCTAGCCTTTTGCCAGTATTAGCTTATAGCTGCCTAAAGCTAATCATTACTTTTAGCTAGTGTTCTACTACTTTTAGCTAGCCTTTAAATATGTTTACCTACTCTTTTGCTACCTTTAGCTACTGTTGTGTTAATGTTAGCTTAATGTTTTGTACTTAAGCCTTTTAGCTAGCCTTTTGCCAGTATTAGCTTATAGCTAGCTAATCATTACTTTTAGCTAGTGTTCTACTACTTTTAGGTATCCTTTGAATATGTTTACTTACTCTTTTGCTACTTTTAGCTAGACTATTGTCCTTTAATCAACTTGTTAGCTATTTTAGCTTTTAGCTAACCTTTTGCTATTTTCAGCTAGCATTTTGTTACTGTTAACTTTAGCCAACTGTTCTGCGACTTTCAGTCAGTGTTTAGCCAAGTTCAGGTTTTAGCTAGTGTTCTGTTTCTTTTAGCTGTAAAACTGAGTTACAGCCATTTCTGTGTTAGCTCTCTTTGCTGTGGCGGCCATCTTGGATTGGGTTGAATTCAGGAACAACTCAAAGCTGCTCGTCTACCTGCTCCTCTGGTATCGTCCTCCAGAAGAAACTCCTCACCCTCTTCTTCTTCAGGTCTTCGACTCTCTGATTCGGTTCGAGGGGTACCGGAGGAGGAGGAGGAGGAGGGGGAGGAGGAGGAAGAGGAGGTGAAGGGTTTGGTGGTCTCGTCCCGTTTTCTCCATGGTGTGAGATTCTAGAAGGACGAGGCGGTGACGTCGCCTCGACGACGGCTGCGTCCTCCTTGTGGAAGGGGAAGCCGTCGCCGCCGGTGGCCGGGGAGACGCTGCCCATGACGTGCATCGCCTCAGCTGATTGGTCGAGAGCAGAGAGGAGCGGCGGCGTCACCGGGATGATGGCGAAGACGAGTCATTGCATTCCAACCACTGAAGGTCGCGGACGGGTCAACGGCGACGACGTTAAAACAAGATGCTGAAGAAAAAGAAATAAAAATGTTTTTATTCCTTAGTGGGGAAAAGATGGAGCATTTTACTTAAAACTACTTAAATATTTTATTTTTAAAATATTTTTGTCCACAATAAACTAGTCGATCTTTTAGCGCGACCTCATCGTGACATGAAAATTTTAAATTTAGACGAACTTTAAATTTCTTGGCTCCTTTACTTCCTGTCTTCTTCTCTCGGCTGCTCCTTCTTCAGGTCACCACAGTGAAGACTTGGTGGTTGTTTTTACACCAGATGTTCTTCCTGATCAACCACAGCCTCTGCGGAGCAGAGAGCTGCATCTGGGGCGCCCGGGGGAGCACATGGTGGGGGTAAGGGCCTTGCTCAAGGGCCCAGGGTGGGGCAGGTGTTCTCCTACCCATATTTTGATGTTGTCGATCCGGAGAGTTGAACCGGCGACCTTCTGATTACAGGCCCACCTTCTCTAAACTCTGCACCAACACTCACCCTTAAGGGCGTTTATTTATTTTATTTAAATCCACAAAATGTATTTCGTTTTATTTTTTATGGGCAGAGAAGAAAAACGTTTACATCACTACATCCAGAAGGTTATTTTATTTTAATTAATTTTATTCCAGTCCAGAGTTTTGGGAAGACCATCCGGCCCACTGGACCCTCCAGAAGCTGTAGCTACAAACAGTAACAGCTTCGTGGGTCAAACTTGGACACGTCGGTTGGAGGTTGGACGTCTTTTTAAATTAATTACATTTTTAACTCTATAGATTCTATTCGTGCACATCACTTTGTGTTCCGTTCTTTAATTGAACCGGACAGAACACCAAGTCCGGTCCGTCCACACACGGTGCCGTGTTTTCAGTCGAGCCACCAGGAGTCCGTGCGCAGATGCTTCAGCCTGCGTGCACGTGGCTCTTGTGTTTTGTACCAAATGTTTACTCGTGCACAACACACGTGTGAATGAACTAAAACCATTTGGTGGAAAAGACAAGAGGGGATTCCACAGCAACGTCCAGCCGGGACGGACGAACGTCTTCAGACCCGTCAGAGATTTTCACAAATGTGGAACGTCACCTAATGGATTAAAATAAAAAAATCAAAAGTATAGAAATACGTAAACTAAAAAAAAAATGTACCGAAAAGAATGCAATATTTTAAATATGGAGCCAAAATGCATTTCTAATGGATTTCTACGGGGTTAATTTCCCCTGATGAACACTAGAGGGCAGCAACTTTCCTGTGAAGTTCATTCAAACAGATTTTTAGGCTTCGCCAGGAACAATCACAAAAAAAAACATTTATAAACACAAACAAAAATAAAAGCTGATTTTTTTCCCACGAGGCCTTGCGAGGGTTAAACTTGTGATTTTAGGCGATAAGAACTAACTGATCTGTTAAACTCAGAATCAGTCTATCTGGCATCGATTACATTTGTCTGCTCATAAATATCTTCTAATGAAAAGTAAATATTTGTCTTTTTATGTTTTCATGGGTTTGAACCCTGGAACTGATTAGTTGACTCCACTGAACCGGTGTAGACTCAGACCGGGTCTGGACCACATTCCTGCTCTGATTATTTGTCCCCCACACAGCTGGAGTCCACCTGAGAGGTTCTGGCTACACGTCAGCACAGATTTAAGCTTCCTGTCTGAGACGTTACATAACGCAGTCTCAAACTGCTCTTCGCCTCCTTCCGTCAAAGTTTCGGCCGAATCGTGCAAATAACCAGAACCACCCGGTTGCGTGACCCGGTCCGGCTGACGAGTGTTGGTTCTGCTCCAGCAGATGTTTTCTGTTCAAACACGGAGTGATGACGACAAACCTCGAGGTGAGCGCCGACCACGCCTCGTCATTCCTGAGAATGCTGAGTCAGCTTTACTCTGTGGTTCTCGTGGTTTTCTGCTCGTTCTTTACTTCTGATATTTTAGCGGTTTATGGATCCGAACCTTCAGCTCATGTGAGATGATGTAACATTTGTTTATTGTAGCTTTATATTTGATAAAATATTTACTTTACAAACATTTTACTTCAGTTCCTTAAAAACTTTGATTTCTTTAAAATCTGCTGCAGAACCCTGGTTCTGTTTTTATGTTTAACTTTTGATTTAGCTTTGTTCAGCTGGTTTTAGCTTTTAGCTACCGTTCTGCTTATTTTACCTTTTAGTCACCATTCTGCTGATTTTAGCTATTAGTTACAATTCTGTAGATTCTAGCTTTTAGCTATAATTTAGCTAATTTTGGCTTTTAGCTACCATTCTGCTGATTTCAGCTGCCATCCTGCTAATTTGAACTTTTACCAACAGTTCTGATTATTTTAGCTTTTAGCTACTGTTCTGCTGGGTTTAGCTTCTTTTCTCTCTTGCATCAGCGTCTCATTTCTTCTTTGTTTGCTCATTAAAGTCTGATTAGTTATTAATGTTTATTAATTTATGTGTGTTATGATGTTCATGTCCCTACAGAGAGAACCAGTGGGGGGGGGGGGGG